ATGATAGTTTTTTGCTTGCCACTTTAGTTTCGGAGTCACCACCTTTCTCATGTTGACTACAGGAGGCACATCCTCATTCCCATCTCCATCTTTACCCTTCTCATCAGTATAGTTTAACAAATTCTCGTCAACAGCAGCATCAGAATCTTCCTCCTCCTCTTCAGATCTGCCAGTGCATTCTTCCTTTTGCTGATTCTCCTTTCTAATTTTTCTTATCATTGAGACAGCTTTTTCTCTAACAGTCATGTCCTCATCTGCACACATACCAAGAAGAAGTTGATCTGTGTGGGCGAAGTATGCATTTCTCTGGACAGCCTTCTTCACTATCGTCTCCTCCTCACTATTCAGGTGTTTCATATATAGCAGGGACTGGAATACGTTCCTTGAGCCGTGTGTTACGTAAGGGTGTATCTTGATGTAAAACCACATTGGAGCACTGAACTTTATTATTGTAATGACAATTCTTTTCAACTCATGGCTGGGTCTTGATGTTGCTACATACAGCCTGAGGATTCTACTCCATAAGGTGTTCCACCTTGACACACAGGGAGGACCTGGCTCAATAGCAGCCAAGTCATCTTCAACAACACCTGTGATAACTCCTTTACAAATCCTATACAGGTATTTCTGATCCCAGGACAGATCTTTCTCCACTTCATCATTAAACACAGGGAAATCAGGGAAACTAACTGGCTGGAAGGCGACAACTGGAAGCTCAGACAAAGACTCCTTGATCTGCTTTCCAATGGGACCACGCCAATGCTCAGGACCACTTGGTTTACCATCATAGTGATAAAAAACTGCGCGGAAAGGCAGCTCATTTCCGTGAAGCTGACATATGAAATAATGGAGCGGGTGACCAAGTAACATTTCAAGATGATGAATGATTCCATTTTCTGATCCTACATTTACATTGGTTCCATCACAACCAACACACACAATGGGCTGCTGGGTTAGATTTTTCTCCACCAGAAACTTGTGAATAGTTTTGGCAATCTGCTTTCCGTGTCCAGTCTTGGAAGTCACATGTGGTGATCCTGCGGTGTGAACTGCTTAACGGTAACTATTTGAATAATTTCAAGTGCGCCAACTTACCCAGGTCTCCCCTACATTACAGTACAGTAACACAACATTGAGAAATGAAATGAGAAAAGGCTGATAATCAATATAGACATAGCACCATACTCATCTGCAACAAGACAACTTAAACGAAATAAGAGATATGAAAAAAAAGTTGATAAACACTGAACAGAACATTGCACCGCCACAGCGGCTGTTTGGCTAGTACTGTAGATAAATTTAAAAATTTCAGTAGAAAATGCGGCAGACTAAACCTCGACATATCAGCTTCAAATTTGGCATGGAGTCTTAGATATGTATAAAGAACAATGCCTGAAGAGTGCAGCTTTGAGCAAAATTTCACTGCCCCCTAATGTACTATGTATTGTGAGTAGAGCCAAGGAACTGGTCCTGCTAGGTAATGTAATGTAACACCAGTATGGTTGTGTGCAGTAAGAGTGTAAGATCTGAGTAATTGCTGTTGAGTAGAAATAAGAAATACTGAGTCTGCAATAAGCCCAGGAGTTGAGCCTGATAGTTATATGTTAATAATATCTATTTTCCCTTTGATTTCATATTAATAAACCTGTTCTTAGAGTATTTTAGGAGTATTCATTTCTCCCACAGTAGTTACCTTTATTTCCGTCCAATTGACTTGACACCAGAATTACCATACCCATGTACCTAGACCCTCGTCCATGCTACCAAAAAGAACTAAGGTTATGCAGTAACCAATGAAGTAAGTAAAAGGAACATATGAAGGAACTGAGTAAGAGTAGGAACTAAGACAAGAGAAGTAAGTAAGATAAGGGTGGTGTAGGTGTTGAAAAACGCGCACCCTTACAATCAGAGAATCTTATGTCTGTGTTCAAGTTGTGTCATGTGTGAGGGGAGGATCCCTAATTACAGTTTTAAGTGAAGTGGATATACCCACGCTATGAACATTCGGCTTTTGTTTCAAGGTGGCGTCCCTTGCACCCGGACTCCAGGTGTGGGTTGATGATATAACCCAATTAATTTCCCCAAGAACGGTCAAACCCGAACCGTATTCTAGTATGTAAGTTAGGATTAAAATAAGTATTTATAAGACATGAGGTTACAATATATGGGAAAGTGTTCATGTGGGAACCATAAGAAATCAAAGGGAAAATTAAAGATTGGAAACTGTAGGCCTAAACAAAGAGGATCAGGGGGGCATCGGCCTTCAGATGTGCTTGCTCCTTTCATCAACCCAGGTCAGTGAACTTCATCCGATTGTATTCAGCCCTAAAACAAGACTTATAGCAGTTATAATACCTTAAACCTTTGCCTGATGTAGAAAGTGAAATAGTAATGTTAGGATGAGTAATACGGCCCATCAGGCATTATTTCTGAGACGTGCTTGCTCCTTTCATCAACCCAGGTCCCCGCGCGCTCTGACTCACCAGAACGGCGGCCATTACCCCCGTGAGCGTCCCTCCATGTGAGATGGCTACCCCCAGCTATGCTAATCCACTGTGAACCTGTGGATTCCCGGCATACCAACACACATGAGTAGGAATACATAATGAAGTACGTGAGAAACTCCGAGGTCGTCACTTGGAGCGACCTATAATACCAGGCGTAGAAACAGTACTGGTATGTCTCTTGATGAAACCCTCGTCTCTACCCACCGAGGGTGGTGTTTGAACGAGGTGCCTGATATGTGTACCTAGAAATTACAAGGAGTCCCATACTTGCAGGTGTGGAGTATGACAAGTGTGGTGAGCTGGTGCTACAGGGAGGTGAGATGGTGTTACTATGTATGATGACCTATGGTGCTATATTCCATACAGGTGGAGCAGTCTGACGTGTGAAGCGTTATTGAAAGAAGGGTAACCAAAATCATCTTTGTTCTTCTGAGGAAGGCCAACTCATTTGTATTTTACCGGAATGCAGTATGTTTTATAAGGAATAAATTAGTTAAGACATGTTATGGTTTCACACTTCTTTCCCCTTATCGATCTGGTCATTGAAAAACCTAACCCAATGCCTAGTCCACTCTGCACGCTACCTAACAAGCTACATACTGCCCAGAGGGGGTCTGGTGGCAGCAACCTTTAAAATTAAGACTATAGTTAAGTTATCCCCTTAGACTTAGTTACCCCAGAATCTGGCAGTATAAGGTATCAGATGAAAATATATGAGAACTGTAACCGCCAGTCAGGCGGTTAAAGGATATTCAGACTCCTTAAGTTGGACACAAACATTATAATTCGGTCAAACCTGTTGAATACAATTCATATAGTATTTCAAATAAGTCATACATAGGCACTCCTACATAAATGTTTAATCTAATATATATTTACATAACAATCATGGCTATGTAGTCTAATCTTAACACTTACAATGAGTACTCAATTTGCCATATTTCTATATTGTCACACTGATAAATGATGCAATGGACACAGTCTACCTGTGTACACAATAAGTACTAGCTAAGCTTACGTGTTGAACGTCTAGAGAGAAGCCAGGGTAGGTGTTGACTCTAAGATATGGGTAGCTATACTGAAATGCCCACCCTATAGCCTGGCCCCGTGGCTGGTCAGCTATGGCTGAGTCAGGTGATTATAATTATACATAAACAAACTCCCTTCACACCCTCCAACCTCCTTCTAGGCCTCTCATCTCCACCATCTTCGTACTCTACATACTACATACGGGCAGGCACACCCAATAAACATAACATGACTTACAGCCTAACATAATGTTTGTTTGTGTGTTTGCTGCTTGCAGTAGCACCCACTCCGTTGAGCGTTCACGCTCAAAACCATGTCAGGCCTTTGATACTTAATGCTTTGTCACGTTCTTGTGACCATGCTGCCCTCAGGCTGATGGTATTCAACTATAATTTTGTCACGTTCTTGTGACTATGCTGCCCTCAGGCTGGTGATATTTAACTTTAATTTTGTCACGTTCTTGTGACCATGCTGCCCTCAGGCTGATGGTATTCAACTTTAATTTTGTCACGTTCATATGACTATGCTGCCCTCAGGCTGGTGGTATTCAACTTTAATTTTGTCACGTTTCTGTGACCATGCTGCCCTCAGGCTGGTGGTACTTATCAGCTCCTTAGGACATCTCGGTCCTTTGACGTTCAGACATCACTGTCTTCATGTGTGGATACCCAATTCATTCTCCTGGCCGACTCCGTCAGCCCTTTCCATTGCTCCCTCCAACAAGCATAATTTTGTCACAGGTCGCAACATTGTGGACGTCGTCGTCTTAACCACTGCCTGTCGTACAAGTCTATCCTCGCCAGCCTTGACTTCCATCACTCGACCAAGGTGCCATTTGTTGAGTGGACTATTTGCTTCTGCTATAATGATTAGGTCACCAGGGCGAAAGTTGTGCCGTGGTCTGGAATGCACTTGTCGAGTTCTGAGTTGAGGGAGGTACTCCGTCAGCCAGCACTTCCAAAATTGATCTGCAAGGTACTGGACATGCTTCCACCTTCTGCGGTATGATTCGCCTATTGGCCTTCCACCTAAGGGAAGATTACTCTTTTGACTTAAGTGCAAAAGATCAGCAGGAGTGAGAGCCTTTGGTTCATTTGGAGTGTTTGGAACCGAGGTGATTGGCCTCTCGTTAACTATGGCTTCCACTTCACAGAACAGTGTTTGCAGACGTTCATCGTCTAAGACTTGTGAGCCCACAATCGCCTGCAGAACCTTCTTTACTGTGCGAATCTGCCTTTCCCATACTCCCCCCATGCATGGGGCAGCTGGTGGATTGAAGACCCAGTCAATATCTGCTTTCAGTAAGGCACCTCTGAGTTTGTCATCTTTCTCCCAAATTTTTCACTGCCAGTTTGGGCTCTTTGGCTGCCCGTACCAGGTTTGTCCCATTATCCGACCTAATACCCTCTGGTGTACCTCTGTGTCGTGAGAACCTTGTTATTGTGTTAAGGAAGGCATCTGCGTCTAATGAGGCCAGACTTCTAGATGAACAGCCCTAATAGTTAGACATGTAAACAGACATCCCCAGCGCTTGACCTGTTTCCTCCCTACCTTGATAATGAATGGACCAAAACAGTCCGTTCCAGTGTAAGCAAATAGAGCCTTCCCAGGAGTGACACGATCTATTGGTAAGTCAGCTTGCCTTTGACGCCGACTTCTCCAGTTGTTCCGTCGGCACACTACACAGCGTCGTATGATTCTATCAAGTAAGCGTCTGCCCTGGGGAATCCAATACCTTTGCCTCACACACGCCATCGTGTGTTCTCGTCCGGCATGTCCGGCTCTCTCTTCGTGCATCTCCCGCACTATGATTTCGGTGATGTGGTGGTCTCTAGGCAGCAAGATTGGCTCCTCACCACTTCGCCCAAGAAGGGTTACTTTAATTCTTCCCTTTGATCTGAGCAACGTTAGCTCGTCCAAGTAAGGTTCCAGTTTATATAGCTTATTGTCCTTCAGCAGCTCACCTTTTATGACAGTTTGGATTTCTTTCTCATAAGCCTCTTTCTGCACCAATCTTATAATTGTCTGCTCATCCGCCTGTAGTTCCTCAGTGCTTAGCCTCTTCAGTTTGAGGCGCAGGTCTGCGGTCCTTGTACTGGATCCAAGCCACCAAATGAACCTTTTAATCCATGTCACCCCTTTCACCAAGCGGTACTGTGATGAGTACCTGAGCCACAGTTTGGCGAGGGACCACTTTGACTGCTCGCTCACTGCCAGAGCAACTATAGATCTCTGGTGTACTTCTCGTTTCACCTCCAGTAAGTCGTTCAGAACTGCTGGCAGTTCCTTTCCCTTTGGCGACCGTTCTTCAACACTGAGTAGAAAGTCAGGACCTCGTATCCACCGAGACCCTGCAACCAGGTCCAGGACAGGTAATCCCCTAGTTGCACCATCTGCTGGGTTCAGAGATGTGCCGACATGTCTCCACTGGTCAGTTCTTGACAGCTCTTTTATGACTGCTATCCTGTTGGCTACAAACGTTTGAAATCGTCTGCTCGAATTGGCGATGCACTGCAAGACTAGCATGCTATCCGTCCAAAATTAAGATTCGTGTATGGTCATGGTCATTTCTCGGCGAATCGTTAGATCAGCGTTCACTGCCAGGACAGCTGCACAACGTTCCAGCCTTGGTATTGTCAGTTGCTTGAGTGGGGCCAGCTTGGCCAGTCCGTACACGAAAGAGCACTGGATACTTCCGCCCGAGTCTACCATTCTCAGATAGGTCACCGCACCATAAGCAGCCTGCGATGCATCGCAGAAGGTGTGCAGCTGTGCTGAGATGATTTCTTTAGCACATGTTGTTTTTAGGCATCTGGGTACACTTAATTTCCCTAGGTGGGCCAGTTCTCCTAGCCAGGTGCTCCAGGTCGTGTGATTAACAGCCGACAAAGGTTCATCCCACCCTAATCTACGCCTGCATTCACACTGAAATGATATTTTAGCCCTGATGATGAATGGGCCACGAACCCCAGTGGGTCATAAATTGAACTGACCAGGCTAAGTACTCCTCTCCTGGCCGCTGGCCTTGAGTTTGATTGCACCTTGATGGCGAGCTGATCACCTTCCAGGAGCCACCTAACCCCCAGGGCTCGCTCCATTGGCAATTTGTCTTGCCTCAGATCAATTTCCTTCAGTGCATTTTGCCTCTCCTCCGGTGGGATGGTAGCCAACACTCCTTTGTGATTACTGGCCCACTTAGTTAAGCGAAATCCTCCACACGCCAACAGTCTTCGAAGCTGACACGCTAACATTGATGCTTCATTTGTCGAGTCCAGCGACATGAGCAGGTCGTCAACGTAGAAGTTGACTTCCGCTTGCGCCACCATGTCGGGAAACTCGGATCTGTGGTCTTGAAATGTGCGCCGGAGAGCGTAAGTTGCACATGAAGGGCTCCACACCCCACCAAAGATGTGCACCTTCATCCTGTAAGTTACTGGCTCTCTACTCAGGTCCCCATTCTCCCACCAGAGGAATCTTAACGCATCTCGATGTTCTGGCGCTACATGGATTTGATGGTACATAGCCTCCACGTCTGCCATGACGGATGTAGTTCCTTGGCGAAACCTAAACAGGACTCCAAGTAATTTGTTGTTGAAGTCTGGACTTTGTAGTACCTGGTCGTTCAGCGATGTCCTTTTGTGTTTGGCTGCACAGTCAAAAACTATGCGTTCTTTGTTTGGCTTATTTGGGTTCAACACCGGTGATGAGGCAGATTCCAGACCAGTCCAGTATCTGACTCCAACTGGCACTTAGGCACTGAATCAGCATATCCTTCAGCAAGCAGTTTATTTATTTCCTCTACGTATCCTTGTCGCAGCCGTGCGTCCTTGGATAGTCTCCTTCGAAGCCCATCTAGTCGACGCTCCGCCACTGCCGTGTTGTTTAGGAGTTCCGTGTTCTCATTACGGAACGGTATGGGAAATTGGTAATGACCATTAGTTTTGATGCCTGTCTCTGACCGTAGCCTCAACACTTTTTGTCCTCAAGTGAATGAGCTGCTGACTGCAAGGCTCCTGTGTCACCTTCCAGCACCCAAAAAAGCTTAACTTGTCTTTCTAGACGGGTTTCAGGACTCACGACAGTTTCGGTCATCAGGCTGTAAGGGCGCGTGTTTTCCAACACCTACACCACCCTTATCTTACTTACTTCTCTTGTCTTTAGTTCTTACTCTTACTCAGTTCTTTTGGTAGCATAGACATTCTTTTGGTAGCATGGTCATTCTTTTGGTAGCATGGTCAGTTTTTGGTAGCATGGTCATTCTTTTGGCAGCATGGTCATTCTTTTGGTAGCATGGTCATTCTTTTGGTAGCATGGTCATTCTTTTGGTAGCATGGTCGAGGGTCTAGGCACATGGGTATGGTAATTCTGGTATCAAGTCACTTGGACGGAAATAAAGGTAAAATACTGTGGGAGATGTATAGATATGTAAATACCAAGAGATGTGAACACGCCTGACGCCAAGACTCTGTTACCAATCATTGTACCATTTATTCACATGTCTGTATTACTACATATTATTATAGCATGTCTGATATCTATGCTTATGTCTAATGCCTATGTCCACTTACTATGTCCCGATGTACTATGCCTGTACCGCGCTAGTCGAGTAATTAGAAGACCCCATTTATTGTCCTAGTAATGTCTAGCAACTCTCCTTGCCTAGCTAGCTAATTTCCCTCAGATCGGCTTCGGCCTGCCTACGACGAGGAGTTCCTTGTGCTGGCTCCTGTTCCTGTACCGGTTGGCTATGACGCCAAGTCTTGTACTACTTATTGAATATATCTACTGCTCGTGCTCTGGAGTTTGAAGAACCTTGTCTAGGATTTCATCACACCACATGGCGCAGTTGAGTAGCTCCAACACGACAGTTGACAAGTTGCAAGAGCCGGCCTGTCTGTTTCCCGGCCTCCTCTGTTTCCCGCCCAGAAGATATACTCCACAGTGCCCCTGGATTTAAAGTGCTTTGTGACCTTGTGAAGTGCCCTAAGTGAAGTGCAGTGCCTTTCATGTCTCTTTGCTATGTTTCTGCGGCCCTACAGGTAGCAGAAACGCTTTCAGCCCAGTTTCCAAGACAGCACTTCCGGCATACATCCTCCATCTGCGCCGGCCCGCAGGCCACTGCCTGCGTCCCCCTTCGACTGAGCCAGTACCGCCAGCTCGCCCGCGCGCGGAGGAATACAGGGACCAGCACCACCGCCGCCAGCCGCCTCCTCTCACTTCACAAATATTACAGTCAGTACTCTTTTACTTGCCCGCCAGTTCCTGCATTTTAGGCAAGTACATTGACGAAAACATAGCACTTCACCTTATTCTCCTTGTCTTTCCCATCGCAACCATACCAAACACGAGATGTCTAACCACGACGATTTGCCGGGAAATTTAGATGAGGATTATGAGGTAGATGAAGCCTCACAGACCCTCCCACCCCCCCTCACGCCTCACACGCCGGGCGCGCCAAATTCAAAGGATGGGAGCCAGGATATACGTCAGTTAATCCACTTCCTACAAGTTTCCCAAGAGAAGGAAGCCCAAAGACGTCAATTAGAGGAGGAAAAACGACGTCAAGAGGAATGGTCAAGACGTCAAGAGGAATTGTCAAGACAGTCAGAGGCATCAGCTTACCGCCTTCAACTTCAACAACAACACCAAGCTGATAACCACAAACTCCTGGGACTATTGGAATTGCTGGCAACGAGGACGACTTCACCAGCTGCCACAACCAATTCGCCAGCTTCAGCCTCTTCATCTATCCTTCAGACAACGCCTCCTCACACGTCACCTATCCCCCTTGGGTATACCTCAGTGCCTTCTCAACCACCTGCTCCAGTCTCAACTCTCGTCGACCTCTCCGTGCCTCCTCCACCGCCTGCCGTCTCGAGTACACCCCTGCACAGCAAGTCTTCAGTTCCCAGTCCCCCACCTCTTCAATCTGATGCAGCATATCAAGTATACCGTCAATGGCGACGTGGTTTCGAAGACTTTGCTGTTATGTCTGACCTCAACCGAATGCCCCCTCATAAACAACTCATCCAATTAAGATCGTGCATTTCCCTCGATGTTCAACGCCTCCTAGAGCACACGCTAGCCATCCCCCTGACTCCCCCAGGTCAGTGACAGAGGTTTTAAACGCCTTGCAGAGTCATTTCCGTGGCCTCCGCAATGAAGCTTTGCGTCGTAGGGAACTGCTATCCTGCAAACAAGCTTCTGGGGAATCATTCTCAGACTTCTATGCACGACTTAAGGACCTAGCAGCCGAGGTGGACCTATGTACAGGCGATCCTGTAACCTGTGCTGAGATCCAGCTCAAGATGATCTTGCTGATGGGTGTACATGACGAGGACCTGCTTCAAAAACTCCTCACCCTCGACGCCGCCTCTTCCCTCACCGACTTCGTCACCTGTTGCAGGTCGTATGAGGCCACAAGAGAGGCTGCCTCAGCTATACACTCATCGCCATCTCAAGTCCACGCCGTCTCCACCTACAAGAGGAATCAACGCCAGATGCAGACGGCGTCTTCTCCACAGCCCCCGTCACAGTCACCAGTGTTTTCTCCCGAATCCTGCAGAAGCTGTCAGCGCCAGCACGGTCCAGGAAAGTGCCATGCGGCTGATAGTACATGTCGAAACTGCGGGTTTCAAGGCCATTGGCCCCGCACAAGTCGATGTCCCGCCAACAAGGTCTCATGCAACGCTTGCAACAAGCAAGGACACTTCGCCAAGTGTTGCAGGTCCACCAAGAAGCCTCCATCTCCAGGTCAAAACGTCTCTTTACAGCCCGACAGAACGTCCACACCACCGTCTCCCAAGAACAACAAAGGATGCCGACGCGTGGATGATGCCTCGAGTGACAGGTCCCCCAAGCCCGTCAATGTTCGTCTGTCCTACGGTACCAACTCTTCCAACCTCCTGATGATACCTGACACGGGCGCGGACATCACGGTGATTGGACCAACACACCTGGACGCCCTCAACATTCCCAGGAGTAGCCTGTCACCCACAGCCATGAACGACGTGCTCACAGCGGACGGGTCCCCGATGTCTCCACCTTTGGGTTGCTTCAAGGCAACACTACAGCTCGGTCCCAAGTCTTGCCTTGCCACAGTCCACGTCCATGAGGGCATCCAAACCCCTCTCTTGTCATGTGGCCATTGTCAGGACTTGGCCATCGTCTCATCCGAGTTCCCAAAGCCCATCCTCGCCGTGACACACCTCAACAGGTGTGCAGAGATACCTGTTTCAGCCATGGCCACACCTGCTGCCGCCCGGGAGTTCTTTTTTCGTCAGTTCAGCGACGTCCTTGTCTCCAAGTCCGACCTCCAGAAGACGCCGCTCAAGAAGATGACAGGCCCCCCGATGAGAATCCACCTCAAGCCTGGCGCGACGCCTTTCGCCATCCACACACCCAGGCCTATCCCCTTTGCCATACGGGACAAGGTGAGGGCGGAGCTCGATTCTCTGGTGCAGCAGGGGATCATCAGACACGCCGGTGAGGAGCCCTCCGAGTGGTGCCACCCTATGGTCTTGGCACCCAAGCCTGTAGGTGTTCGCATCACAGTGGACCTCACCCATCTCAACTCGCAGGTCTCCCGTCCCGCCCATCCATCGCCTACGCCCATCCAAGCAGTCCGCAGCGTCACCCCGTCTGCAAAGTTCTTTACCACGGCGGATGCACTACATGGGTACTGGCAAGTCGACCTGGCGGAAGAAGATCGCCACCTCACTACATTCATCACGCCCCACAGCCGCTTCCAACACTGCCGCGGACCCATGGGCTTCGCAGCAACGGGGGATGCGTACTGCCTCCGTGGGGATATGGCTCTGCAGGGTGTCACCAACTGCGTGAAGGTAGTAGATGACATCCTGCTCTTCGACGATGATCTCCCGGCCCACTTGAACCGAGTTCATCTGATGCTCACAAGATGTCGTGCCCATGGTATCACCCTGAACAAAGATAAATTTGTGGTCGCCGCTTCCCAAGTTAACTACTGCGGCTACAACATCTCGCCAGAGGGGATCTCAGCTGATGAGGAGAAGGTCAAGGCCATCAGGGACTTCCCTACTCCAGCGAACCTGACCGACCTTCGCTCATTTATGGGCCTGGTAAATCAGCTGGCCGACTTCTCCCCTAAAATCGCCACATCAGCCCAACCTCTACGCCCCCTCATGAGCCCCAAGCGCTCTTTCCTCTGGACTCCTGACCACGACCTAGCGTTCAGGAATGTTAAGAAGGCGTTGCTGTCACCACCAGTCTTGGCACCCTTCGACCCGTCCTTACCAGTGGTCCTCCAGACCGACGCCTCCCGTCTATACGGCCTCGGATATGCCCTCCTTCAAGATCACGGCCAGGGTAGACTGCACTTAGTTCAGTGTGGCTCCAGGTTTTTGACCGACACGGAGACCAGATACGCCACCATCGAACTAGAGATGCTGGCAGTCGCCTGGGCTATGGCCAAGTGCCGCCTTTACCTGTTCGGCCTTGGGCATTTCACCCTCATGACGGACCATCGCCCGCTCATACCCATCCTCAATCACTACACGTT